CCCCCCCCCCGTTGTCTTTCTCTTTCACCCCAGCCACAAAGGAAACAGCTTTGTTGCTCCATACATTCACTCCTGCAAGGGGCTGCCTGCCTCAGCACCGACAGATGAAGCACTGAAACCCCCTCAGCTGGATTACAGCAATGGGAATGGACTAACGCACATGTTTGTACATTTGGCCTGGTTTCCCTCTGTGTTATCATAACCAGGAGATCAACACTCATATAATCCCCCAATCTTACTCACCTCTCCTTGGTCATACTTGTAATTGCATGCATGAACTCAGCTCTATAAAATGTTATCAAATCCAGATATGTTTGTATATCTACCATCACATTCACGGTATAAAGTGGTTACAGCACCAGAAATAACTTCTAACTTGGTCTCTGCTTCTACAAGTTTGTAGCATTAAGAATGTTACACAAATGGAATCAGGCAACATATGATGCTCTCAGGTTAATTTTTTAAATTGCACATAATTCCTTAAAGATTGCTCCAGATTGTTCTCTTTTCATTTCTGTATAGGAATCCATGTGGTGGATATGCCACAGCTGGTTTACCTACATCAGCTGATGAACATCTGAGTTGTTTCTGCCTTTGGTTGTTATGACTGAAGTTGCAATGAACATTTATTTACATGTTTTTTTCCCAAAAAAATATGTCTTCATTTCCCAGACAGCAGTTAATGTACTTTCAAACTCTCAAATTCTATTGTTTAGATTTAGAATATATATCCTTTCACACTACTGAATGTAAAAGATTAATCTCTATTATCATCAACATACATAACCTTAAAAATACGTTTAAGACAAATGGGACACGTACATCACACACAGACACACACACACACACACACACCCTCCCAAGGCTCAGGAACCATCCTGGAAGATGAATGGATAGATTAAAAGAGCCAGTGGTAGCCAGGCGTTGGTGGCACATGCTTTTAATCCCAGCACTCGGGAGGCAGAGGCAGGCAGATCTCTGTGAGTTCGAGGCCAGCTTGGTGGTCTTCAAAGAGAGTTCCAGGACAGGCTCCAAAACCTTCAGAAAAAACCCTGTCTCGGAAAAAAAAAGAGCCAGTGGTTATGAAGGACCAGAGTGAAACATTGTCTTCTGGATATGACAGGACCACTGCATTCATAAACTCAGCAACTGTGACTGCCAGTATAAGACCTGCACAAGAGCAAACCAGTCAACACTCTAGCATGAATTCGAGGGGATATCTGAAGCTAGTCACAGCTGATGGCATCTGGGGAAGGGAGAGTCCATTTTCCTTAGTGGTGTGGGATATGACATTGGGAAAGAGTCCAGGGAGGCAGAATGGATCTGGGAGGAGTGGGGTGGAGATGATCAAAATGTGCTATATAAAATTATCAAAGAATTAATACAATATTATTTTTAAAAAGAATTAAATAAAATTAATGAAATTGTTTAGCATGGGGTTTGACATGATGTATGTTCTCAATGAATGTCAGTCCTTGCCAGGTAGGAACTGGAGCTCTAATAACATCCAGTATCCCTGCAAGACCAAGAAAGAAAGACAAGTTTCAGCTATTGAAGTATGTTCCAAAATGACCAAAACATCACGTTCATTGATAAGACTGTCAGCTTTTCAGGATCTGTTTGACCAGATGATTACTTCTAAGACATACAGTATCATAGATAAACTACAATACACCAGAATTCAGGGGGAAGCTTCTCCCTATAGGAGAAAAACACCCATAGTGAGATACTACATCTGAGGTGGGGTGAGAATAGACAGCTCTGAGAATGGTGGGCAGGAAGAGACAGGTTTGAGCCCTAGCTGGCTGTGGAGGTTGAGCAGAGGGACGAAGAAGACAAGCCTACCAAGCTTTGCTGGAGATGGATCCTGGTTCTCACACGTGGGAGACAAGAGTTCTACCACTGAGCACATTCATAGCCCCCAGCTTTATTGTTGGACATGTTGTGCAAAGTCCTATACTGCACACTTAAGAAAAATCTACAGGCTGTAAATGTCACTCGATGGAAGACTGCCTAGCCCAGGACATAAGAGAGAAAGGAGGAATGAGGAATGTATGGACAGAGCTGGAGAGGGAAAGAGGAAAATGGAAAAGCTGCAGAAAAGCCACCCCCTCACACACTTTGAGACAGAGTTTATGTAGCCTAGAACTCACCAAGATCTGCCTGCTTCTTCTGCCTGTCAACTGCCAGGATTAAAGGCATGTGCCACCACCTCCAACAAACAGGGGCATATTCTTTTTTAAAACAAAATGTTAAAATTGCATTTTCAGCTTTGCTCTCCACAGGGGGACTTAACTTTTATGTTTACGTGGACCTACATAAAGTGTGTCCCATTGCAACGCCTCAGCAGCATTATCTATAGGCTAAAAGACCCACAGGCCCTTGCATTTTTCTAAACTCTGAAGTCCTAGAGACACCTGAACGTTTCAGCACGTCCATTCCCTTGAAAACAAGGAAGAGCAGTGGTAGATTCTTGGGCCATTCCAACCTGCCAGAGGCTTAGCTTTGAGGTCAGCACAAGTTCATTTTATATACCTACTCTGTGATTTACCAAATGTGCTCAAGTCACATACCTTTATCACTTGATTCCTCATCTGTTCATTTGGAAGTCAACTGATGGCCTTTGTGGGCTTTGTGACACACACCTATAAAGAGGCACTTGGGGAGGTGGAGGGAGGAAGATCAGGAGCTCAAGGCCAACCTCAGCTACATATTGAGATCAAGGTCATCATCTTGAGCCCCATGAAAACCTCTGTCAAATATTCCCAACAATAGGGCCATCGAGGCAACTAAGTGGGCTAAGAATGCTTGCTGTCAACTCTGATGACCTGATTTCAATCCTTGGATCCATATGGTAGAAAGAGTGAATTAACACCAGCAAGTTGTCCTCTGACCTCCACACATGAGTTGTGATGCATGAGTATATCCACACAAAGAGAGACACACAACAATATGCAAGCAAGCAAGCAAACAAACAAACAAACAAATAAATAAATGTAGGAAAGAAAAATGGTGGCTCAATCATTAACAACTGTTAACTCAGTATAAAAGCTTGCTATGAGCATGGATCCACCCAGTTCCTGGACAGCACAAAAGGTGTCTCATATGTTAACGCTGAAGTGAGTTTCCCATAGAAAAATAGAAGTGAATCGAGGCACCATGGGCAGAAGAGCAGCAGAAAAAGCACCGTTCTGTGTAGTGGAGGGGCTGGAGAGGTCTTTACACTGCTCTGGGGTGAGATCCCGCTCCCAGTGCCTAAGCCATTTTAGCAAAACCCAGGGGGTCAGGCTAGAAGCCACTGTCCAGTTCACCAAGGAAGTTTTTGCTCATGTAATGAGAACTGAGGCTGGGTATGGACTGGGCAGTGGATCTGAGGCTTGGCATGGACTGGGCAGTAGAGCTGAAGCTCACCAAGGCCGGGAACATTTGGCTTTCATAAATTGTACAACAGGTGGATCTAGAAAACAACTGTTTCCGTAGTCCCAGTCACTAGGGACTTTTCAGAGCAGTTGTGGTTTGTGGCATGGTGTCTTCCCCATGCTAGAAGCTGGCTGGGTCAGCTGCTTTTATGTGGGAAAGTAAAGAATGCAAGTGGAATTCAGGCAACACAGGCCATAATCTACCATTGCCCTGGACTCATGGAGGTGATCTTGGAAAACCCAGCTTGAGAAAGATGAATTGTGACATTTCAATAAAGAGGTGACCAACGTGACTGCCTCCATTAGCTCCCTTCCTAACAGAGATGGAGATTTCCTGGTTCTATGGTTTAATCCATCCTGGGATTAACCACCTGCTGACCCTAACCCTCAGCATAACCACTGAACTTTACTGCAAATCTGGCCTTAAAATTCAACAGAGAGCCAGGCATGATATCATAGGCCTGTAATCCTGGCAGCGCTCAGGAGGCTGAAGCAAGAGCATCTAAGTCCAAGCCAGTCCTCAGAGTGAGTTTCAAACCAGCTTGGGCTATGAGTGACACTTTGCCTTTAAAAAAAACAAAATTCCAGCCAAACAAAAAGTAATTAGAGTTTCTCACATCTAGAAGACACTGTCAAATGTTATGAAAGTCTTGATACAGGCACTGGACTGATATAATATAAGCTGAGGGAAAGCTGAGACTACATGACAAGGCCATAACACTCCATGGTAGTTTGTAAACTTGTTTAGTGGTTCCTCCTGACCTGGATCTTGTTTCTACAAACAGAAACTAACACACATTATGTAGGATAAATGTAAAAATGTTAAATGTCAGTAAACACAATACTATTAATACAACTCAGAGTCTTAAGACATGCTAAGGATAATGCAAGAACATCTTATCTGCATCTGATTGTATAGCCCTATAATCACAACTACTAGGAGGCTGAGACAGAAGGAATACAGGCTTAGGGGCTGCTACAGAGTAGGTTCAAGGCCAGCCTGGGCAATTTAGTTAGACAAATCTTAAAAACAAGAAGGGCTAGGATATAATCCAGTGGTAGAATGCTTGTCTGGAATGGGCAATCTTCTGTATGACACCCACAAAATATGTTATAAACAAAAAAAGAGGAAAGATGCCATACAAAGGATGACTACACACAAATTACCAAAGAAACTGAGACACTGAATATGAGAAGGGCACCAAAACTAACAGGAACTAACCAGAGATGCGGCATGTTTTCAACATATTGGTCATCCCATACATAAGGTTAAAAGACGACACAGTCTATGAGTTAAAACAGGAACAACATAATTCTCAATTTGGAGAGGATAGAGCAAATGTGGCTTGGAGGGAACTAAGTGCCAAGACAGTTGAGGTACTAGTATGAGAATATAAAGCAGTCTTGGACCCATGCACTCATCTGTTAATTCATTTCACACACATGTCCAGTGCCTACTTTTGTTATTCTTGTAGGTGATGCGTAAGAAAGAAACATTCCTTTCACTACAGCAATAACTCCTAGTGAGGGTACCTTGCAAGGGAAAGGTTCTGGGAAGGAAGACATATATAGAATGACTATATTTATTAGTCATCCCAAGATACATACATTTACTGTATCTAGATTTATGCCTATATCTTGGTAATTCCATTTAGTGAGTTTCTCCTTTCCTTCTCAACAATACCCTGCTTTGTATATAAGCTATATAGCTGTTCTTTACGTACAGATAGTATTTATTCTGTCATGTATTGTGCACTAGTGTTTGTCATGAAAGATCTCAATTGCTGTTTCAACCCTACAATACAGGTGCCAAACCATTATCCTCATTTTATAGAAAA